TGAGTTCCATCAAGGCATGCAAGTAAGAGCCTGCTCCATATCATTGTTGAAGGACACCGTTGGTATATGTAAGAAAAATTAAATAATGTCAAAGTTTGCAGCCTCTCTTGTTCATGTACTGATCTATTTGTCTTTTACTCGCTTCTAACAGCAAATGCATGTTCTGATATGGTAGTGAAATAGGTCAGTTATTGAAGTCCAAGTTCAAGTCTCCACTGGACTACAGAGCTCCCTGAATTGACTTACCTCCTGGGTGGTAGTTCTGGGGAAAAAAAGAAAGAAAAGTTAACTTGCCAAACATCGTGCTGGTTGTAAAGTGACAGGATAGCAGTGCAATAACAGTTCTCTATACCTAGAGCAACATTTTAATTTTAGCTAGAAGTGGTCCAAACTTTGAAGCAATCATCTTTCTTCCTTCTCTTTTTCTAAGAATGATTCCAAAAAGCTTCCACCACCACTACCACCCAAAAAAAAGGAAGGAAAAGAAAATGGAGCTATTTTCATTGAGCAAACTTTGAAAAAGAATTGGATTAAAACCTCCTTTTATGAAACAAACAAACAAGTGGTTAAAAGGTGCTAGTTTAAACTGTTTGGGACCTAATATGTCTGAACTACTGCTTGGATAAAATGGTTTCTAAAGAAGGGATTTTATAGTCATGGGAAAGGTGCATTAAACGTGCTCCCATCTTCGGCTTATGGTCACTCACTCACACACTCTCAGCCTGTTGAGGAACGCAGATCTTGTCAGCCCCCCTTGCTTTGTACCTGGGTTTTCCAGACAGGTGCGGCTGGAAAAGACGAGACACACAGCCCTGGTGAACTGATGGGAAATAATTAGGGACGCACGCAGATCCTCTCCAACCGAACCCTGAGTCTCAACAGGTTCTTTGGAATACAGGGAGACCCAGTGAGTTGAAAGGAGTAGCAAAACTCTCCTGGTTACAGTGGACATTTGCTCTTTCTCACACTCACATACACACTCATCCACTTTTATGCATGTCCTTCTCAACTTGGCTGCCAGGCATTTGCTAGAGGGACAGAAGCTGCCTTGTCTGGATCCAAAGATGAGTTAAAGAGTGGGTGGGTTCAGGACCCCTTTTGATTCATAATAGTTCTTGCTTTGGTGATTCACAGGACTGGCAGCTACTCTTGCCCTTTTGATTTGCAAATTTTTGGACCTAATACGTCTTAACTACAGCTTGGATAAAAGCTCTGATATTAATAGATCACAAAGAAAGAGACTTCAGAATCTAGCCTTGTTTCTTCATGACTTTCATCAACATTTACAGCAACAGGGGAAATCAAAACCTTTCCATATATTAGTAGTATGATACAAATGTTTATAAACTTTTCCAGGTTTAAAGCATCTCTATCCATGATCACATATTGCAATCAACATTTGTTCCCAAAAACCTGACTTGAAAACTGCATAAAAGGGAGGAGGAATGGGAGGGTTTGATGGATCACATGGACACAGAAATATATTTTAATAATACCGAAAAGCTGGCATCATATGCTAATGTTTTTTTTCTCTGCCCCTTCTTTTATTGCTATCATAATCCAGTATTTCATATACGGATCTGAACTGAAGGTCTGATCAGACATTCTTCCACACACAAGAAGATTCTTTGTTGAAATAATTTGATAAGTATTTCCATATTTTACTATTTTTTAGAAAGTTCCCTTGGTGTCTGTACAAGGAGATGGAAAAACATTGGAGGTGTTAATTTAGAAAAAGGACAAATATGAGTAAATGTGGAAGGAATACACAAATATAGACTGAGAAAGATTCCCCCCAACGCTCAAACTCTTACAATACTAAACAGCAGCCAAGGATTCAGCAGAGAAAAGAAGGCAGAAATGAGTCAATGTTCACCATTTTCACAAGAGCCATTTTAGGCTGAGGAGGGAGCATGCGGCGATCTGAATTCAAGACAAAAGAAGAAATATCTACAATCAAGAACCCACAGGTGGGCAGAAGACAATCTACTAACAGGGAACAAACCAAAGATTATGACTCCTTCTTCCACATGTCAGCTTTGCAAAGGCATAACTGGTGCTACTGGTGATTCCAGATATTTGGCCAGTTTCAGATTCTTCAACAGTGAAAGCTAAATTAACTCACTAAGGGTTCATGTCAGCAGTTGGCTCCCAACTGAGATGACATGGAGAATCAAACAAGGGTGAAGGAGTTCTTACTGCGAGGGTTTACTGAAGATCAACAGCTGGAGAT